AGGTGCCCTTCACAAGCCTCTATTTGTGTCAACTGTGGAGATCGGAAGTGACACTTTCCGAGGTACTGAAGCCAAAAGTAAGAAGCAGGCAGAGATGAATGCTGCTGAAGTGGCTTACGATGCTCTTACTAAAAGTAAGAAACTAATTATTTATTTGGTTTGAAGTTTGTTCCAGTCTCTCAAAGCAGCTACTTCGATTATTCCTTTCTTGCTTTAGTATTGTATTATGAGCAACTACATTGTGTGCAAGTATATGATGAAAAAAGCTTCTTGCTGCGACATATATGTACTTACATTACACCCTTTTTCTCTTTGAGCACGCTTCATTTTGATTTAGGAATATTGGCTTGTACTTCTAAGAAGATGAGAAAGTCTCCATTAATACTTCAATGGTGTTGCGATAGGTTATTAAAGCTTATAATATCTCAAAACTATAGTTAGACAGTGATTGATTGGTTTACCCTTTCCAGATAAATCACTCTTTGTTCAGTATGCTTTTTGCTTCCTCCATTAGAATGACAGATGCAACTTTTGCTTTATACCTTCTTTCTGATTGATAGCATCTATAAATTTCAATATTGGTGTTAAATCTGATTGATATTTGACTAATAACGATTTTTTACAATACGTATGTATACTGTTTGATGAAAGCTGCCCATTCTCATCTTCATTCTTACTTCTACTAGAATTATATTCGCTCCCTTGCAACTTGACTTTTATTAATCCCCCCCCCCCCCCCCCCCCCCCAAAAAAAAAAAACAGAAATTATTACAATATGATGCAATTTCTTACAAAATTATTTATTTTGTTTATAGAGAAACATTCCATGTTTGCCTGAATCCAAAGAGTTGGTCTCTAACTCAGCTGTTAATTGCTGTTATTTACATTAATATGTAGAAGTGAAATGAAGGATAAAATAATATTGATGTTGGGTCTCTCACATAGTTGAAGGGGAGCTTGGATATATGCGTATTGCTTATAATTATTCATATTTTCTTTTCTTTTTAATAATATCTTTATTATCTCTAATTTCTAAGTGGTTCCCTTAATTCAGCGGGTTACATCCTTCTTTCTGTCAATTCTTGTCCTGGTCTTTCTGATACTTATTGTGTATCTCAAGTCCTGTTTGCAGAAGCTGGTCTTAAAATATCTGCTCTATATCTTTTATTTCATGTCCATTCTCCCTCTTCCCATTCTTTTAAATGATTCTTTATACGTGGCCTGGCCCCAGTAACTATGGTAATTCTTAATAAATGCATTTACATTTATGTAAGCACATGGTATAAATGTCGATGCATCAGCAGAATATTACACGGAGCTGGTATTCAAGATATATAATTAGATTTCTTTATTGTTTTTGTGGGTGTGGTCAATGACAAATCAGTTCCTCCGGACAAGGGAGCCTTGGAGGTCTCATCCAGCTTGGGATCTACTGCTGCTCATGATTTTAAAGTGAATGTGCAGCCCACCGTTGTACTCAAAGATGAAAATGATGTGGAAAATGAAGGTGAAAAACAAAAGCCAGGTACTATTAATGTACTCTTCCATATTGTGCTCCTAGCGTCGATTAGAATGCAGATCTAGACTGGGCAAACTGGAAACACAGGCCATAGATGAATAATATTTATTTGCTTGCTGCATCAGTTTTAAGGTAGAACATTTTGAACATTGAAATGTTCGCCATGAATAAATATTTTGCATTTCCTTCCAGTGCATGGATATTGATATTCTTGACAAGGCCAACCTTGGGTAACCAATTTGCTAAAATTAAAGGCGGGAGTTTGATTCACATAAAGTCAATTACTAAGAGTGATAAGTTCGGGAAGCTGTATGAGCATCTAAATAAAACATTATGTTTATATCGCTATTTTATTTTGATGATTTTTACAATTGAAATTTCCTAGTAGACTTTTGACATGCTGAATATATACAAAATGTAATAAGGCACTGCAATCTTGGGCATCTCTGCCAAAGATGAGAGTTGCACACTATGATCAGGAAGAGGAGGTATGGTGGTTCTACGAAAGCTGAAGAGGACATCCTTCTGGAGCCATCATCCTGTTGGTCAATTAGTGAAGAAAGTCGAAGCAATTAGAAAAACTAAGGAACGCCTTTCAAATTTGTCAAATGATTGGCAGCGCCTGTCACTTTTCACCAGTGAATTGGTCAACTGGTGAAGTGAAGGCATTTGAGTTAAGCTTGAAGTCTTGAATTTAGGCAAAAAGTTTTCACTGATCTCATTAACTCGGTTTAGAGCACCGATGCCCTTCTACCTAAGAAAAGTAGGTCACCCAGGTCAATGCTAAGCTTTTAGACTGAGAAAACTAAAGTGCTGTCTCAAGGATGGTTTGAAGATTGTAAAGGTAAATTTAATGTTTGAAAAAACTGTTTACTGAATACAATGATTGTATTTCCTAGTACTTGAAATGGTTTAGTGAGCAGTTTAAGAAAGGGATTATGCATCAGATGGTAAAGTTACAGCTATGGTTTGATGTGATTTTCGTGTTCATTTTCATCCAAGATGTAGGCGAAACTTCTTTGATCTGCCGAAAGTTCTCGACTTTCCCTTGCTTATCTGTCTGGTTCATATTACTAATACTTATAGTAACATAATTCTAATTTGCTTTTACACAAGTTACAATGACTTCATTTTGTCTTAATCTCCAGAAGGCAAGATAAATTGCAAAAGACAAAAGACTTCTGATTAGAATGTGAATGCAGATATGACAGGTCCATCGAATCATAATTCCTCACCTCACAGGGCATCTTCACCTTCTACATCCATTGAGCATTCGGTTGCCACTGAACCTGTTACTGACACGGACTCACCTCGTAGGAAAACTGTGGTTTTTGCGCGCAGCACTAACATGCCAATCCCTGATGGTGCCATTGTTAAGCCATATAGTGATCGTCAATGGGTCGCGTATCAAGTGGGAATGAATACTAACTAAACGTGTCTACGTTTGTTTCTGCATTGTTAGAAACCGTTATCCATGTTTTTTCTACGATTATGTGTTTTGCACAAACAGATGTTTAGTACTTATTAGCTGAACTATAGATAATTTATGCTCATTTTCTTTTTTCCTGTGCAATTTATCTTCATAAACAGATTTTAATAGCCACTTGGATTGTCCTTCCTAATCCAATAAGAACAGTACTGAATTAAGCCCTTGTGAGTGGCTGGTTGAGTAAATGCATCCAATGGATGAGTGCCATTTCTCGATTGGAATTCTCCTCCATGACCATCCATTGAGGCGTAGATGTGTAGTTATAACTGGGGACATAACCCTTTACAATTTTCTAGAATTCAGATTAGGAATGCATTTTTAGTCAATTAAGAAACAATTGTTCAATTTAATTATTATGGCTAATTTTGTTATAAAGGCATTTTTTTTAATCAAAGCAAGGACAGCTTACTTCTAAAATGAAATTCAACATATTTAAATATAAATATGTCAAAATCCAATAACTTATCAGCCATTACCATCAAAATATTAACAATTTTAACAGCTTGAAAGAGTATAAACAGACATCAAAACCCTCTTATAAGGACTAGAAATGTATAACAAACATCAGGGTACTTGAGGACAGACATTTACAAGAACATGTAATAAACTGTCAATTTTTGGGCATTTCTGCAGAAATTTACAAGAAAATCTAGTCGAATTCGGGGTCAACCAGGCAACACCTTGTCAGCAACACTCGTCCTCTAAATGCTTTCATCAATCTGAGGAGTAATAACAACTTTTTAAACAACAATAAACTACTAGGCTTTATACTAGATAAATTTAGGGTCAAATGTCTTCTGATCAAGATCGAATGGAGAGTTTTTCCCCAGAATGCTTAAATTACAAATTCCAGGCAGCAACAAGAAGAAAAAATCTAGGTGTTGAGCAGATTGGCTATGGAGATGATGTTGACTAACGTGGTGAGGAAACAAAATGGTGAACATATTCTATTAAGTAGATATAAATAGGATAGCAAGTCATATTTCGAGTGTCCAGCTAATGGAACAAAAGATTCATCATCCGAGTCCTTTAAAGACGACAATTTTACTTACATCTACGATGTATGCCATTGTTCCCATAGTAAAGATCTTGTTCCCTTGTCTGCAAAAAAAAAAATTCTAAACAAATATAAGAATGCCCTTCCTGAAGAAAAACCGTTTATTTTATAGCATTAAACAAGTGAGAATTACACAGATTATATATCTTAAATGTATTTTTGGACTAGAAACACAATAAATTCTTTTTTCTCTTTACATTTTGGGGGTGCAGGGCCAGGTGGGGATTTTCGAGATGCATTTTGTATGGGCAGTACAAGAACAAGATCTCCCGAAACTTTTAAGGGTCACTGATAAGCTCTCTTGTTCCTTTGCTCGCAGTTAACGATAATCATTTGAGATAGAAAACAGGTCACTGAAACCCAACTCAGATAAAGGCCAACACAAAATATACAGAGTTGAAAGTTCTCACTAAGGAATTTAACGAAGCTGGATGACCACACAACCCCCAATAAAATCCCTTAACCCTTACAGAGTAAAAACCTCATGGAGGGGAAGTCATTCTAGTACGGGAAGTCATTCTAGTACGAGAAGTCTGCCAACATTCTAAGACTTAAAAATGAAAAGGTAAAGTAAGCTACAATAATTTACACCGGATACATATCCCGATGAGAAAAGAAAAAAAAGAATTATGCAGCATAGTTCCATACCTCCAAAGGACTAGGATAATTTTCCCTCCGATGGATTGATGCTGAGTACGGAGAAAACATTGCATGTCAATTTTAGAAGATTTTACAAAAATAAAGTGCACATTACAGACACTTACCAGATGCATAATCAGGCATTTGTTGATGATGGTAGGGAAAAGATGCCATCCCAACTGATCCAGCACCATGGGACAAAGAACTGGAATTTGAAAATAAGAAAAGATCATCAGAGAAACAATGCACTAGCAGACACTAAAATGATTCATTGTAGCTCAAGAAAATAAAAACCTTGGGCCCGAAATTGGATAATAGCTTTCAGTGCATGCTCGAGGCAACCCTCTAGACTCTGAATAAAGGGGATCATGTCCCTGCATAAGTGGATATAGGTTTATTTTATATACCATGCATAGAGCATATATAGTTTAGCAGATTACATGTATAAAAAGGGAAGAAGTGACGCAGGACGAGATTGGAGAGCAAGCACAAAAACCCACAAGAAAATATGGCTGCCTGCTCCCAGCAGCAGGAAAATGATGTTCCGGAAAAGTGGTGCCTGTTCAGACAAGGAAGATAGGAGGATGATAAGATACCTCACAAGAAATTCAACCTATAATAGGAATAGGAAGGAAACCCAAGTACAAATATTCTGGTATTGATACAAATTAGAAAAGGCCTAAGAATGAATCAGAATAAGCACTTATTGTATTAAGCCAATTGGGTATGGACAAGGTTCACAACATTAGCATCAACCCCCCAGTTGGCCCCCTTTTGTTTCAATTTTTTCTTCTCTCTCTCTTATATTCAACCACACAATCTTCCATAAATTAATATTATATGTAAATCGAAAACTTTTCCTCACACATTCTCCCAAAAAACACTATTCCAAACATTAGAATTTGGAAGAAAGGGAACCAAACTGGGGCTAAAGCAATTTTGAAGCCATTAAAAAACTGATACTCCCTTTATTCTAACTCCATGCCTTCATATTTTATTGAATTGAGGTGGAAGAGAACCAGATCACTGCCGAGGCCTGATATATCAAAAATATTGAAACCGGACCTTGACCTTGACAATAGGGGGGGGAAAAATCTTTTAAATCTTGTCTAGTGCAGATACAGTTGCACACAGGCATAGAGAGAGAGAGAGAGAGAGAGAGCAGAAGCATGCTCAAGTTTCTAGATTTCGGGAAAAAAAAAATTATAAGATTATGCATGTAAGTAACAGCCGTCACCAAAATATAGAGAACTACACTTTTTAAAACTCGTAGAAGCTGAAATTATAACGTTCTTGGTATTTGATTACCAAAATGCAACTAAATATGAAAGGACTCGTGCGTGCCTTGGAATACTAATTGCAAAGAGACCAATTTCAGCTTCTGAGATGAAGATAAGAATAATGCAAATCCAAGTTTGTGAAGCAAAGGCTCCAAATAGCATAGAGGAGTGAGAAGCACACTACAACATTGATGTGAAACCATCTTTTGCATGTGAGGCCCTAAGATGGTCTAGGATTGTCTTATATAAAACTCTTCTTGGCCTCTTGAAGTTAGGTAATCCATAGTAATATGTGGTTAGGTAACCACCAACTAAAACCAGCAAGCAATTTTTTGAAAAGTTTTGTAGGACATTTTGCAACTCTCGTCGAAGGCATGGACGTTGATTTGCACGTCTTTCATTCCGAAGTGCGTGTTCAAAGAAATTAACTCCAAACAAATTAGATCAGCTTGATATAGCATTAGACACTTCATTAGGCATTCCAGGCAGTTACCAAGTATAAAAGATAAAAGATTAGGTTAAACTTTAGGAGTGGTTTGCATTTAACCGTTACTAACTATAAAAGACAAAAATTAGGTCAAACTTTAGGAGTGGTCTGTATTTTAGCTGAGGCTGAACTTCAGAAGTGAAAGGTAGCTGAAATTGCAGAGTCCAAGGTTTCAACACTATTAGCATCATTAAGGTCTCATCTTATGATGAATTAATGGACATGCTCATCGAGCTTATAATAGTACGTAACCAGCTCCATGTAATAAAATTAACACATTCAACAAACAAGTTTTGGAGATGACAGCAAATATTATGAAGTCAACACCTCTTACAATACTAGTAAGTGTATCTTAAAGGGGCTTGCATTTGGGAGGTTCATCATAGAAAAGATCACTCTCCACTTTTTAAAAAATTGCTGGAAATCAGAAATATACTGCTTCATAAGCTTGCTGTTGCACAGGAAAGGGGACAACATCTGGACAGATTTTTGGATCTGCCTAATGCTCAAAGCAGGGGGCCGAATCTGGGAGGAACATCTGACCGACTTCATAAGACTCTGGACAGTTTTCACAGCCCGCCGAATGAACAGAACATTGAGCTGATTCAGGCAGAAATCTCAGTCCGGCAACAGGAAAATCTGGACAGTTTTCTGGGTTTTCGGACTGCTCAAAACAATCTGGGAATTCTGGACAGTTTTTTCACTGGGGAAACAGGCCATAACTTCAACACAAAAAGGGCATATGATTTCTTCAGGCCGAGGGGTACAAAGAAACCTTGGGCAACCGACGTTTGGAAGCCTTGCATTACTCCGAAACACTCTTTTTTTATTTGGTTAGGGGCCCAATCAAAGCTCCTAACTAAAGATAAACTGCATTTCTTGGCTATTGATCGCAAGTGCGAACTTTGTGGACATTTGGAGGAAATAGTTCGGCACTTATTTTTTGAATGTCCTTTCACTTCGGCTGTATGAGGAAATATTAGACATTGGCTTGGCATCAAAAGATATATGTCAACACTTGCTAGCTCTCTCAAGTGGATGAAGAAAGAGGCTCCTGGGGTATCATGGTGAAGCAACGTTAAGAGAATTGCACTTGCTAGTATTGTTAACTACCTTTGGTTGACATGTAATAGGAAGATTTTTGAAAACCTTTCACCCAACTTGGATTCCATTGTGAGACGGATCAAGACACACGTATACAAAGTTATGTTCTCTTTGTATCCGGATGTCTTGATCCATTTCGAGTCCTTAGCGTTGGGTCATTGACTTTTTATGCACTTCACTTTTGTTGTATTTCCCGGGTATGCCCGGAGAAATTGGATGTGATATTGGTTTCTGTTTTGCCCGCGTATGCCCGGTGTAATTGTATATAAACATTTTTTATTAATGATATTTACATTTACCGATTAAAAATACAAAATGCAGAATTGCAGATAAAGAAAAACAAAAAGGAATTACAAAAAATACCTATGCCTGGACTAGAAGAGATCAGCTTACTCGATGCTTGTTGCCTCAAGATATGCATAAGTTCGTCAGTGGTAGAAGAGCTTCCATTAATCTTAGGACCACCATGACCACTGCTGGCCATTTGCCCCTTGTTTCTAGGTTCGTGCAGCTTTACAGTTGCTACAACCACGAATTTCCAAAAATTGAGGGAAAAAAATCAAATTAATTATTGAAACAGCAATACATTCCTTAGCAGCATACATTTTTCACTATTTTTTGCTCATTAATACACAAGCAATCACCAATCTTGGAGTTTCATGCAATACAAGCTGGATTATGAATTATAAAAGCAACACTGCTTGCAAGGAAGCATTCGACAGCAGTGTCATGCGTGAAATGAGTTCTTCCATACAACAATTTGAAAAAGTAAGAAAAGAAATATATATTCTCTTTTATTTCATTGAATCTACGACATGAAGTATAGTCTAACTCTTCCCATCAATCTCCTAAGTAGTAAATGGCTTCCATAGTAGATCTCCCTAGCATAAAAATGGAACTGGTTCTAAGATATCCGTTTGTATATTCTTTTGTTTATGACATAGTTTTAGTTGATGAGACTAGGAAGGAGATAAATCTTAAGTTAAAACTTTATACTACTTTCAAATCTGAAGATAAATTTTACATGAAGTACCTATCATGATGTTTAATTCCCTGGTATGTCTTCTAATTTTCATTTTGCAGTTAAGTTATGAGGCACAAATTTTATCCTACCCTCAGCTTTTATCAGAACAAATCTTTTCTTTGCACAAAGTCACTAAACATATTGATCCTTTTTTTACGTCCTAGGAAACATATCCCCATGCCCTTCTCATCCTTTGTGCTCTCTGTTATCCTTCAAGCCATATAAGTTTACCTACCCTTGAATCCTGCCCTGTCTTTAAAGCGATCAGGAACCATAGCCCAATAAGCGTAAGAGGATACAGAAAATCGTGGCAGTTGAAGTGAGTACTCACGTTTCAATGCCTTTGGTTTCTCCTTGGAAATTTTCTTGACAATGGGGTTGGAAACATGTTTCATTTGCCTCCCCCTCATGATAGGATTTGCTAGAGACACCCTCATTTTAACCTAAATGATCATATATATCTAAGTTAAAGAAAATATTTTAGAATGTAAATTGACAACATACTGTTCAAACAATGTTAACCTTGGTGCTATCATCCTTCTCCTTATCTCTATTGACTGTCTCAATGCATGTAAGAGCAGCTTCACGGCTTGAATAGTTGATAAATGCAAAATCTTTTCTCCTTGAAGCAGGTAGATCTTTTGCAAGGACAACATTCTCAATTTTACCAAATCTTTTGAAGTATTCTTTCACATTCTCTTCATCCCACAAGGAAGGTAGATATTCAGCATAAACAGTTTTCACCTAAATGGAGGCAAAGTGTGTCCGCAATAGTTTAGACATAGCCAACAAGTAAAATTCAGTTCTGTTAAAACCACTGGTCTTTAACTTAGGGAAAAATATAATACGAAACCAAAATTATGTCAAGTGAATACAAAGAGGATGCATAATGTTAGAATAAGTGAAGCATTTAAGTTCTTAATGAAATTTGCATCCAAACAAGGCACACCAGAATTTTCTGAAAGTTTCCATGCTTTAAGCCCTCATTTGGCCCCCATTTTTTGGAAATAAAAATGGGTGAAATAGTGTTTTTTTAAAAATGAGTGGTTGAAAAAGAAGGAAAAAATTTCAATTTACGTGTAATATTATTTTAGGAAAGATTGTGTGGTTGAAAATAGGAGAGAGAAAAATGGAATGTAATGAAATGTAATTTAATGAGTACCAAATGGGGGCTAAGTAATTAGGAAAAGCTGTAATATGTGTATACTCTGTTGTAAATAATTCCTGATATTCAGGGTTGAATATATGGTATTATTTTTATTCTCCTATTACTGCTGATTCGATTTATCTGGATTAGAGTTTATTGAATTATGCTCATTGTATCTTTTCAATATCAATAAAGTTAACATTTCCCTCAGTGGATACTAAATGTAGCAACTCAGATTGCAGCAGTGTGATTCCACAAAACTGACCTTTAAAATTTCTTCTTCAGCAGGCTCGTTTAATGGTTGTGCCCATTCAACTTTTATCTTCAGGTCTTTTCCAAAAATATCGTTCTTTTGGAGTTTATGAAAAGCAATTTGAGCATCTTTAGGCCTTTCAAACTCAACGAAGGCAAATCCACGATTGTTCTTCATGTTATTAGGATCAGCCTTAATGGTAACGCCATCTATTTTCTCAATGCCAGATTTCTCTAGCAGTTTCACAATCTGTGCAAAGAAAACCATTTAGAATCATCACTCACCTGAAGAATGTGTTGGACAAAATAAGTACAAAACACAAATGCTTACATCATCAATCTTCCATGTTTTGTTTATATTACCAAGAAATATTGTGTCATTGCCCTCAACAGGGGCTGCTCCACACTGCTTCCCACATATCTAAGTTTGAATTACAGAAATACAAAAGTACAGTAATTAGCCAGCAGAACATATTAGACTTATGACGTAGAACAGTAGTGAGAGAGAGATAAAGAAAAGAGAGGTGCTTGAGGAGTATGCATTGTGTTGATTTTTAAGAAGCTTTTGGAGTCTTGTTTATATAAGTGATTCAATACAAAAACTAATAAAGTGTATTTTGGTTGCCAAGAATTTAAGATGACGGGTCGGAGTGGCAAAAAAAGGATTCATACAACCAGCCCCAAATTACTTTGGGAAAGAAGGCATAGTTGTTGTTGTTGTTGTATTAATCAAACATCTACATTCAAACCAAGGGAAAGTGGAACACGAACACTACAGTCAATGGCATTGAACTGTAGGATGCTATGGAATGCTTAGTCATATAAGATACATTTACCAGGAACACAAGTATTTTTTTAGTTTATGGAAGTCATATTCTACCTTCCTGATTTGTGTTCTGAAAATAGAGATACCAGCAGTATCTTTCTTTTTTGTGTGTAAAATTCAGGATAATTTGTAACCAAATTGAGCAGCTTACTATAATGAAAATTTTAATTGCGAAAATATAAGAAAGATTGTTATATATTACTCATCATAGCAATTATATACCAGGTAACCAAATAGTACCCCAGCATTTCTCTCCAAACTGACAAACAAATTATGTTGGACCATTCCACTCATCAGAATAAATGGACTATTTGTAAATTATAAGTTGAATTGGCAAATAAGTTGCATTCAATCTGGTTACCATACATGTACAGCATGCACATCCACATATGCAAGTATAGATATGTGTTTCCAAAGCTTCTACTCATTGCTGCCAGGTGGTTCAGACTTTCTTCCTACTCTTTCGCTTGTTTTGAGACAATTCAATCCAAACAAGTAAAAGAAAAATCATACTGTAAGGAAAGATTTCATGTTTTGTGACAAGAATTGAGCACAAAGCCATTAAAAATTCCTTTTTATATGCAACTACTTTTTTAACTGATTAATTATCGCTGAAGTTTACAATGAAAATTATCAAATATCAATTTTATAGTTATTAGTGCTTTCGCCCAAAATTGTCTCATAATTAGTCTAAATGGACTTCCTACATACTAGAATGAATAAAACTAGAAATGCCGATACATGCTAACATGTGAAGGTGACACTAAAATTAATTAAAAGATGAACAACTCAGATACTTGTAGAATGACTTGTCAACCTAAAGAAGCTCCAACCCACAACAACAAAGTGATCCACTAGAATGAAGTAAAGAATAATAGACCAGAATTATCATAGTTTGACATAGCTGCAACCTACTGCGACTTTGAACCGTGTTTTGTAATTTGGTCTTCACCGATGAGAGTTAAAAATCACATTAATACATCAACTTACTTAATATATAGGCCACGAATTGCATATCAAACTAGCAAGACATCAAAAGTATACAACTGGAAAGGCACTATTTAAATTCACTTTAATAGGGCAACCAGAGTAGAAAAAGTTACCTCAACTTTGGAGTAGTTGGTCAATGCGTTCTTAGCATCAGCTGCTGTAGCAAACTGCACAAAGGCAAACCCTTTATTCTTTCCCGTCTTCTTGTTCATTGTCAGCCTCACTTCCACAATTTCCCCTGCCTCTTCAAACACTTTCTTGATATCATCCTCCTTTGTTTCCTTGTCCAACCCACCAACAAAAATTTCTGTTTGGCGCCTCTTTTTCCGCTCCAATGCTTCCAATTCGCCACTCAACAAAAATCCCTCATTCAACCCAGCCCTATTATCCTCCAACATTTCCTTTCCTCCCTCTTCACCATTGCCATTCCCACTTCCAGTTTCTCCCACTAGACTTGCATATTGTTCCACCTCGAAAGTCATACTTCCAAGTTCACGCACTGGATCCATATTTTGATCCTCAACCAACTCCACATTCTCCTTTTCATTTGTACCCGCATTTTGAATTTCCAAGAGTAAATCTTTTGATAATTCCTTAGCTACAGTACCCTCCACCCCCTTTGTTGTTTCACTTTCCAGGGTAACTTCAGCAGCAGAACCAACATTTTTGGCTTCCATCAGATCAGAAATGGTTGCATTCGAGTCTCTTCTGTCTAGTTTGGCTACAATGACATCATTTATCTTCAACTGGTCAGTTTCCGTAGAATCAATGCCACTTAGATCATTACCCTTTCCAACCTCCATAGGTACTGTAACACGTGTACCTGTTTCAATGTTAAATTTTTCTGTAACTGCATTAGTAGAGTTTGATTTTTCCTTCACCTCATTAACAAGATTAGATTGGTCTATTGCTTCATTTTCCATCATGTCATTCACAAGATTATAATTCTTCATATTTGACTTTTCCGTTACCTCACTCAAATTCAAGACATTCTCCTCTTTCTTCACTGATCCCTGGTTTTCTGAACTCTCAATCAAAACCCTCTTGGGAACCCTCCTCTTAATAATTTTCTTCACAACCCTCACTGTCTTCTTCACTATCTTCATCTTCCCATTTCCAGGACCTGCCGTACCTCCAGTCACCCCATTATCGGACCTAGCTTTGGACTCAACCGAAAAATTTTCCTGCATGGGGGAGTTCAATACCAAAGCACCAGGTACAACTGAATCAGATGGAAAACCATCTCGACACTCCACCGTGGTTTCAGCTTCTGCATGACTGGGTTTTTCAAGCCCAACAGCTTCAATAGATTTTCCTGCGTCAGCATTGATACTGTCTTTTTTACCGTCTACATCAGATTCCATCAATCCAGCACACCTAATTAGGGTTTTTTCTGAATTTAATTGTTGAGGCTGAGAAACAAAGGTTTCATGTAAAGGATTTTGCGAGTCATTTCTAGTAGCTGCCGAATTAGTTGTTCGGGCTTTAGCTCTTTCTACGGAGCTAGGACTGTTGGTGGGCGGCGTCGGAGTGACGGCGGCTGCGGAGGTGGTGGGAGGCCGAGAATTGTAGGGTGTTGTGGAATTTGGTTCGCGAGAGGCACCAGGAGTGGGTTTGCGAGCTGTGGATCTATTGGCGCTCCCCCGATCCCAATTGAGGGCAGATTTTGGAGGCATTTCCCCGTGTCACACTGTGAATCCTCGTACAAGTTGAAGGGATACCTGAATATTTGTTTTGTCTGAATTTTTCTTGTTCAACTTCTGCTATTTTTTTTTTTTTTTTACTTTTTCTTTTAGCACTTGATTAGCACTCAACTATACATGTACAAGATAAGCACAAAAGATCTACAATTACAGTAATGCCATGCAGGAGTAAAATAGTCAGGTAGGCACTTTCTCTCCTTCGAGAGAGAATTCGCGAGTGTGATAAAATTCTTTGCTTTGTATCAAATCAAATCACATGTTTTGTCGAGAATTGTTGCACTTTCTACCTTGGAAAATGAATTGACATTTATGAATAGTTGTTCGTGTTGGAATAATTAATAATTTCATATGTGGGCTTCACATTCGATTGCAAAATTTTACGGGTTAGGTATATAGCTCATAATGATATTTGTGTTTGGGCCAAATTTATTAATTAATCAATTGGGTCTTTTACACTTTACGGGTTGTAATTAATTTGATGTGGTAATTTAAAATATGTGGGCCGAAAATAAACTCTAATTAAAATTCTAGTCGTAATGGGACGGCTCAATTATTTCCTATATAAAGGCTATGTTCCCTCTCCTCTCCATATGTTTTATTGGCTTGCCCCATTGATAGCTAATACTTTTGTGAGGAGCAAGTAGGGGAAGATCTTGACTGCTATTACAACTACTATTCATATCAATAATGGCTTTCGCAGGTATGAATTCATTTTATTAATTTATTGAATTGTGATTATCGATTCTTAACATGATTAAAACTAAATATCAACAATTGGTATCAGAGCCTTCATGTTAAAATCGAAATCCTTCATGAAATTCATTTTTTTTTCTTATATCACGTAAAAAGTCTGTGCATATATATTTGTTTTGAATGCTGTGAACAGAAAAAAAAAAAAAAAAAAAAAAAAGGTTGCTATTGCTTTATTGTTTTCATGTTTCTGTGCATATAACTTCGTGTATGCATATATTTATAATTCAGTAAAGAAGGCAAAAACGTAAGCCATCAAAACCCAAATCTACAGAAATCCAAAATCCCACTGTTTCCAGAACTAAGTCAGGAAACCCAATGTGCAAAACACTACCTCTCTCACCTCTCTATTTCTCAAACCGCTGATTGAAGGAAATTAATTGAGAAAACCAGGTTTCAACATGTCAATTGCCAATTGATGGTAATGTCAAAACCCAAATCAATTACCATCATGGTTGGCTGTCTGCTGTTCTTAATTATTATTATTATTATTAGTTGTCGGTATTTCATTTTTCTTTTTCTTTTGATGAATTAATTGGGATGAGAATTGATGTTGTTAAATGAAGAAATCTATTGAACTTGGAATAGAAGAAAAGGAGCCAGCAGCCATTGTTATATGTTTGCATATTTTTATTTATTTATTTTTTTCCTTTCTTATTAATGTTGAATCTGTATTATGTTTAAGAAGGGATCAAATATGTATGATGTGCAAATCGAACAGTGGTTCTTGTTAGGGTTTGATAAAGCTGAATTGGGTGGTGGAATTAAGGCTGTTTCGGTCGGCTGTGATGTTTTTTGGGGAAGGAGGTCTCTCTTGCAATTAATGAGATGAGAGGCCCCTGTCTGCAATTAGAGATTGGGGTTAAGATTGTAAATAATAAAAGGCGGACATGTCATCTAATTTATATAATTAAAAGGGCCTATTAATAATTTTAGACCAGGGGTCATGTTGCAAATTTTTGAATGGGTTTTGACTCTAAAATTTCAATTTTGACCCAAATTAAAAATTTTATTTAAAATTAACCAGCTAAAAATTATGTGGATAATAATAATAATAATTGACGACTTTTAAATTTTCGTCAAAATGTTAAAGTCAATAGTTGTTATTATTTGTTTATTTAAATTCCACTTTTCAAATATTGAAATTTTGTTGCCCATTTTGTCGCTCAATCATATATATAAATTTTGTTGTTTATCAATTAATGATTATAATTTGTTCCATGATTATTATTTTGTGATTGAATTTTTCTATGGGCCTTGCAACGATTCTTGTTTTCTTACTAAGAGAAATATTTTGAAATAAAAATGGGTGGTAGCTGCCAAAGTGGCATACTCATTATTATTTATTCGATTTTCTCTACAATAAAAATACATATATTTTTGCCCAAAAACTTTTGATTTATTGCATATAATATTTTGCCCAAAAGTGTTATTATATGTAATATTTTTGGAAAATGGCATGAGAAAGTTAACGAGCTTATTTTGGTTTAGCAATTTCCTTCTGCCCAAAGGTGTTGGTGTTTCGAAAACCAGTGTAATTTTGTTAACTAGTTACATGATGTGTTTTAAGAGTACCTTATAGCATGTTGTATTGTCGACCCAAAGGTGACTTTATGATGATGCACCTAGGCTCTTACCGTAATAAAATTCATATGTTTCGATTTAAATTACGGATTATCTAATTAATAGCCCATATTAATTAGTTGGATATTTCATCATCCATTTGATTGCATGCATTAAGTTTGGATGCTATTAAGAGTGATATTTTATATTTCCACAGTTTATAATGCCTCATCTCTTTCGAATCAATTGTCTGCTATTGAAACTTTGACTGGGAATAACTATGTGAGATGGAAACGAGACGTAGAAATAGCACTTGGTTTTTTGGGTTTGGATTTTGTAATGGAGAAAAAGCTTGAAAAACCCACAGATAAGAGTACCGTTGAATATGTAGCCGAACATGAAAAGTGAGAAAGGGCTAACAAACTCTGTTTGAAAATCATTAAGCGATCGATATCTGGTTCCATTCTAGGTGCCATCCCTGATAATGAAAATGTCAAAAGTTTTATGGATGCTATAGGAGAAAAAATTATTGAGTCTGATAAAGCCGAAACTGGGGATCTGATGGATAAATTTATGAGCATGAAATATGATGGTACAAGTGGTGTTAGGGAGCATGTCATGAAAATGATAAATATATCATCTAAATTAAAGGCTCTTGACATTCCCATTGCGGAGCCTTTCCTGGTCTATCATGTTTTGAATAACCTTCCTAGCAAGTTTAATCAGCTTAATGTTGCTTACAATGCTCAGCGGAATAAATGGAATTTGAATGACCTCATAGCAGTGTGTGCCCAAGAAGAGTATAGGATGCGCCGTGAAACTGTTGAAACTGTGCAATTAGCTTTTCAGCCATCACAGAATAAGGGGCCTTCTCATAATCATAAACCTAAGTTTCGTAAGGGTAATAAGTCTCACCGAAGTCAACAGAATAAAAATTTTAGTGGTCCCAAAAGAGTTACAAAGAAAAATGATCAATACAAGTTCTGTAAAAAGAAGGGTTACTGGCAGAAAGATTGTTTTAAGTTCAAGATTTGGTTGGAAAAGAAGAAGAGTTCTCTAGGGGTACATAAGCAAACGGAGGCCAAGTGAGAATGAAGTAAGTTTGAGCGTTGCAAATGGATTTCAAGTGAAGGTTGAATTCATAGGAGTAGTGAAGTTAACTTTAGAGTCTGGTTTTTATCTTGTTTTGGAAAATACAGTTTATGTACAGCAGATGAGACGGAATTTAATTTCTATACCAAAACTTGATGCTTGTGGTTTTATATTTAATTTTGGTAATGGAACGGTTAAGTTATTTAATGATTCTCGTTTGATTGGGAATGACATTTTATGTGATGGTTTATATAAATTATCTTTGGCTTATTTTGGTGATGTATCGTGTATTACAAATGTATTAAAGAAAAGGGCTTTAATTCGTGAATCGTCCTCTATATTGTGGCATAAACGATTGTGTCATATTTCTAAGGATAGAATGCAAAGATTAGTAAAAGATGAGATATTTCCTTCCTTAGATTTCTCCGATTTTGACACCTGTATAGATTGTATAAGAGAAAATTTAACTAAGTCTACGAGGAAGGGTTCGACTAGGAGTAATGAAATTTTGGATTTAATTCACACTGATATTAGTGGACCTTTGCTTTCCACTATATGTGGGAATAAATATTTCATAACTTTCATTGATGATTTCTCACGATATGGATATGTTTACTTGATTAACGACAAATCACATGCACTTGAAAAATTCAAAGTTTTCAAATTGGAAGTAGAGAAACAATATGAGAAAAGTATCAAAGTTGTAAGATCAGACCGAGGTGGTGAGTACTATGGGAAATATGACGAGTCTGGTCAAAATATGGGTGATTTTGCAAAATTTTTACAAGAGTGTGGAATAGTACCCCAATACTCCATACCAGGGACACCTGAGCAGAATGGTGTTTCTGAAAGACGTAATCGAACTCTAAAAGATATGGTTAGAAGTATGATGAGTAGAACAAATTTGCCTGAATATTTGTAGGGTGAAACCTTGAAAACAGCTTTGTATATTTTGAACAGAGTTTCAAGTAAAGCTGTTGCAAAGACACCTTTTGAATTATGGACAGGACGTAAGCCAAGTATGACTCACTTTAAAGTTTGGGGATGTCAAGCTGAGGTTAGGATTTATAATCCATTTGAAAAGAAATTAGACCCTAAATCAACTCCTGGCTACTTTATTGGGTATCCGGATAGATCAAAGGGATATAAGTTTTACTGTCCAAATCACGGCACTAGAATTGTGGAGTCCATTACTGCTAAGTTTCTGGAGAACGATTTTGGAGATAGTGGGAGTTCCACATTGAGAGAAATTCTTGTTGAACCTAATCAAGTTGTAGTTCCAATTCCTGTCATACAGGAAAGAATTGGTTCCCAACCAATTGAAATTGTTAATGAAGAACCGAGGAACCAGGAGGAATCTCCAATTCCTCAAACAACGATTGAATCGGTCCCTGAGCCACAAGTTAGGAGATCACAAAGGGAAAGAAGATCTGCATTGCCCAGTGATTATATTGCATATTTATTGGAGAGCGATTTTAATATTGGGCATATTGTTGATCCTGTAACTTATAACCAAGCATTGACAAGTCGTGATGCAGATAATTAGATAACTGCCATGGAAGATGAAATGAATTCCATGGAAAGGAATAAAGTTTGGGATCATGTTGAACTTCTTCCAGATGCTAAGGCTGTAGATAACAAGTGAATTTTCAAAAGTAAATTAGATTCAAAAGGAAATGTTGAATGAAAG